TGCTTGGAGTTGAGCCAACTATCTGTTGACACATGGCCCACAGTCATTGTATTATCTGAATTCCTCAGACATCATTGGCTGTATCCCCAATACCCCCCATGAGCTGGAGAAGTTTTGCCACCTACATTTTACAGATAGGGAAACTGAGGCATGGTGCGGCGATGTGACCTGCCCCAAGTCAGCCAGAGAGCGGCATAGCCAAGAGCTGAATCCAGCGCTCCTGAGTGCCGTGCTTTAATCACAACTGCCCACTTGTCTTGGTTTCATGTGGGCAACGCTTTTGATGGCAGGAATCAGAGCCTACGCACCAACCCTATAACAACCGGCCTCAGCACTTGCTCTGTCAAGTGAGAGAAAATTAACATGGCTCCCCAGAGAGATGCAGGAGTCTGAGCTCCTGGGAGGCCTCTCGACTTTGAGAACAAATATGAGGGACAGCGAGAGACGCCATCTTCATCTTAAGACGAGGAGGGAAACCAGCCCTTCATATTCAGTGGAAGGTCTGAGAGAGAGCTAATTGGGGAGCAACAGCTTCTTAAACAAAGACGGTGGCTTCCTGGGTGAGACGTGTTTTCACTTCTGTGCACCTGTAACCATCTCTGCCTTTATGTCTTGTACTTGGCTTCACTTAACCCATGTCCCGTTGTGAATAAACTTTGATCTAAACCCACCCAGGGATGTGTATAAAACGGAGGAACTGAGAAGTCCAGACAAGCTTCTGGGGATGGTCTCTTAAAGGTGCAAGCCAACTTTATTATTTCTTGGAGTGATCCCAGAGGAGGGCAAGTGATGACGATTTTGGGGAGATGCGGGACTAGTGGTGTATGAGGATGATCCTGCCATGTGTGCCCAAAGCGGGCGTATGGGGCTGTTTTAAGGTAGGCAGGCTGCTGAGGTCAGAAGCACTGATCCAGGGCTACACAGCGCAGAGATACGCAGGATTCGGCATGCTTGTCTGCTGGCTGTTGGGATCCGGGCTGGGACCAGAGCAGCTCAGGGTTACAGGCAGGCAGTGACACCCCCCTCCTGCTCTGAACTGTACCCCAAAAGGCAACAGACATTCACGTGGTTTTTGTCATGCCTCTCCTGGGGCCAAGATCTGAAGCCCACGGAAGGTTTGTATGCTCAGAACCGGTCCATTTACTGAGGTGCCAACTTGAGGCACTCAAGTTTAAATCGTTCAAGCGCAGCAGCAATGCAGCCCCCCTGCCCTGGTTTTCCCTACCCCTCTGGGTGTGGCAGTCAGAGCAAGTTGCCCTGTACAGCCCAGCTGTGCCGTCCATGACAACAACTTTGGGGTGTGCCCCACGGCTATTGAGAATAGGTCTGAGACCCATAACTTGTTTTACTCGATCCACCAAACTGTTGCCCCCTGGTGGAGGCTTTCAGACATTCCCCTCTGGGAGCCTTTCTACCCTGGGATCGGAAGGTGTGAGCACAGCAGGGGTAGATGTACTTAGCCTCCTATAGCGGCACTGATCCCGGCACCGTAGGCAGCAGCTGCTCAAGTAAACACCCTGGGTTCTGTGGGGTAGGGGCTATTACTCAAGCTAGCTAGATCAAAGTGAGCCTACAGCAGCTGTGATCCCAGTTCCTGAATGTACTAGGAGGGTGGGGAAGCCCTGGGATGGGTTCCCTAGGGAGGGGGTGGAATCTCCATCCCTAGAGGTTTTTAAGTCTCGGCTTGACAAAGCCCTGGCTGGGTTGATTTAGTTGGGATTGGTTCTGCTTTGGGCAGGGGGCTGGACCTGATGACTCCTGAGGTCTCTTCCAGCCCTAGAGTTCTGTGATTCTATGAACAGCCCTGCAGGCTGCATTAGCAATAGTGAGCTGGAAAAGCGGGGCTCCTGGGCCGAGACAGGTACATCACGTACTTACCTGGCTACCAGATCACCATGCTATGTGAGCCCTCTTTAATGTTCTTATCTTCCGTGCTATTATCCCTAGGCTGTGTCTAGACTGGCAAGTTTTTCCACAAAAGCAGCTGTTTTTGTGGAAAAACTTGCCAGCTGTCTACGCTGGCCGCTTGAATTTCCGCAAGGACACTGACTTCCTACTGTCTGAAATCAGTGCTTCTTGCGGAAATACTATGCTGCTCCTGTTCAGGCAAAAGTCCCTTTTGTGCAAAGCTTTTGCGCATAAGGGCCAGTGTAGACAGCTCAGATTTGTTTTGCGCAAAAAAGCCCCGATCACGAAAATGGCCATCGGGGCTTTTTTTGCACAAAAGCGCGTCTAGATTGGCACGGACGCTTTTCCGCAAAAAGTGCTTTTGCGGAAAAGCGTCTGTGCCAATCCAGATGCTCTTTTCCACAAATGCTTTTAACGGAAAACTTTTCCGTTAAAAGCATTTGCGGAAAATCATGCCAGTCTAGACGTAGCCCTAGTGTACAGCCAGGGTGTAGAGGCACAAAGAAACGAAGGTCCAGATCTCCAGAGGGGCTACTGAAAGCCATAGGCGGAAGGTGCCTTCACACCTTTGCGGCTGTGGGCCAAAGTGAAGCTGTTCCCTTGCTGAAGGTTATAAGGAATCTCTGTGAGCCAAGCTGACCTACCAAAGCCCAGAAAGCCCGACAGCAGGCGACTCCGGCATGCTATCCAGGGAGAGCAGGCAATGCCAGGCCAGCTGCTATTCTAACTGTTGTAGCCTCTGAATAAGTGGTGCTTTCAAACTCTGGCTTTGCTTCCTGCTCCAAGCCTTGGCACCCCCTTGTATGTCTGATCTATCATCATCGCATTCATGTTAGAGTGCATGGCCCGGAAAGAACCGTCACCAGCCGGTGACAGCAATAAGCAGCATATAATGAGCCACATGCCTCTGAAAGAAACTGTGTGTGTGTGTCTATGGAAAAGCGATGGGCCAAGCGTGGCTGATTATGTCTGACAATTGACGTGCTAACAACGATTTGGCCCATTTTCTTTCAGGCTGTTTGAAACATATCGCGTTGCCGAATGATACGCGTGACACCGATCTGGCTTGTCTCTGGTCAGCCGGCCCACCAGAAAGCCTTACCAAAATGCAGGATGACTGACCGCCCAAGATGTCATTTGCTAATATCTGCAAGAGCGGCTGATGGGGCTTCGGAGAGTTCACACTCAGACACCATTATGGCTCTTAACGCTGCACATGTTTCTGCTCGATGTTACCAAATCCAGGAGGAGCTGGAGCGCTTTGATTCCTTCGCAAACAATCAAAAAGGAAAACCAACTGTGCTTCACTGGCATCTAAACAAAGAGCTTATGAACAGCTTTGGCTGGGCTGTTTCTGTTGCAGAGCCCCTACATTTGGAAGCACTGTCAAGGATTGCTTGTTCTCTAACGGTGTCTTAGATGCTCAAAACAATCAAGCTCCTTTCCCGGATGATCCTTTTTCATTTCCCCAGCAATCGCGCTTTAATTTCGCTGTGCTTTTTTAATGAGGCAACAAGATCCCGAGCTGTTTACCCCTTCATTCCTTTACCTGTCTTTCATGTTGTTTTAATTTATATTCCCACTGCAGACAAGCATAAAACACCCTAGGCCCTTCATACACGCTAGAGACCGGAATTTCTTATTATGAGCTTGCATACTTTCTACAGAGTTTGGAACACACATTGAACCTGCTCCTCGTTCAGAGGCTGAAATGACCAATTTTTTATCCTGCCCATGTGACATAACCATGGGTGTCCGGTAGCCTAGGTGGGGGAGGGGTTTGCCTTCTCAAGGCACCAGGCATGGCCCCGCCCACACTCCGCCTCCAGAACGCCTGCTTTAGGTGTTCTGGGGGCGGAGTGTTGCTATCCCCAGTGCCTGCCCTCCTGGTGCTCTGGGGCTGAGGCTTCACAGGGTGCCCTCCTCCTTTTCCCAGTACCCTGGTACGGGGGAGACTGGGGCAAGTGTGCACCTGCCGCATGCTCCCCTCCTTGTGGCTGGGGGGGGGTGCACGCGTGGTGCACTGCCCCAGCTCCCTATGGGGACAGGGAGGGGGCGGGGCCTTAGCAAAATGGGAAGAGCTGGGGGCGGGGCTGCTGGTGAGCTGGGGGCAGGGCTGCTGGTGAGCTGGGGGCTTGCTTCCCCCAGTCCTATATTCAACAACCGCCCATGGATATAACTTTACCACACGGGCTAGGATAGGGCGGTGGGTGCCGGGGCTCTCAGATTCCATTCCCAGCTCCGCCACTGATTCTCTGAGCGATACCTCAGTTTCCCTGTCACTACAGCCGAGGGGTTGTGTCACTTAACACACAATTGCCAGAGTGACTTCATGATTAAAATCAACACAAGGGAGATCAGAAGTTGGCCCATTCGGTTTTTAAAGTGGGTTCAAACCGTGTCCTGGAAGGTGCCGTGGTCTTCAACATGCTGTAGCCACGTGGCAGGCCGGTTGCCTTGGCGCCAGGCTGCTAAGTTCAATGTGGAATTCCTTGGTGAACTTTCCTGTTTGCCACCTACACAGCATCGCCTCTCGCTCTGCCTGTGCGTTCATCCCTCGTGCTGGGAAGACCGGTACAGCCCCAGGGGTATTGCAGGCTGCGTTCCCTGCAGCATAGACTGGCCTCAGGCCCCCAAACTGCACCAGGCCAGCAGCTGGCCGAGCCTTTGCTGGATGAAGCCACTATCGGTGTTACTCTATGACCGGACTGGCCAGCCATTAGGTTGCTGATGCATTGTGGGTAAGGCCACCACCTCTGCATGACACCTCCTCAAGAGAAGGGTTAGCACAGCTTGTCAGCGCAGACGGCTGGCCATGGGACAGGCTGCTTGTTGCTGCTACCGTCTCAGCCTGGAGCTGAGGGGCCTGAAGGGTTTGTTACCACGGACAGCTTATTTGGCTTGGCTGGTCTCTGATGTCCCCATCGGCCTACAGACACACCTGGCTTGGCCATGGAGCTGCACTCCCCTTTTGTCCTGCTACTAGCCCCCGGGCTCTCCTTGTGCGGCGTGTGCACAGGGGACCGTGGTTTCCCAGACTCGGTCCCGCCCCCGTGGCTGTGTGTGAAATGACAGGAAGGGCAGGCACTTACTTCTCTGCGAGCGTGCGCAGCAGAACGCTACGATGGTGGCCATGAGCACCAGGAACGCCACGCCGGCCCCCACGGCGACGCCTATGATCACTGCCATCGGCACTGACTCTGAAAGAGGAACAGGGAAGCAAATGAAGTGGAGAAGTGACCCGGCACCACCTTCCCCTGCCCTGCTGCCTAACCCTCCTGGCTGCCAGGACCCCCCTCCTGGGGCGCGTCGGCTCCATGCCCTGGCTTCCTAGCCCTCCTGCCCATCCCCCCTCAATAACCAGGCTGCTCTTTAACAGGGTGGGTGACGCATGGTGCACACAAATGAGCTTGATTGTAACTTGACTGTCCGCAGGAGGACACAGGATGTCAGAGGAGACATGTGTGCAAGGGGTTAGATATCAAATGTTCCTCTAAAATGTACAGGTCAAAGACATGGAGGCAGGAAAAACTCAAGCCTCAAGGAAGAGCACGTAGTAATTAAAGCAAGCTCCTGGGAGTCCTAGCCCCAGCTCTGCCACTGACTCCTCGTGCACCCTCGCACAAGACCACTCCGTGACTCAGTTTCCCTGTCTACAGACGGAGTGCCAATACTTATTCACCTCTAAAAAGTGTCACGTGGCTTTAATGAATGAACTGTCTCTAAAGAGCGTAAGCTGAAAAATGCTGGAGAAGGGCAGAGTATTCATATGCTGAAGAAAGGGAATTGGAACTGGAAATGGCCACGAAAAAGGTCCCAGGGCCAGGCGGGGTGAAATGCAGGAGAGAACTGGAAACGTAACACTGGGCCATGCAAAGGTAACAGCTCAGCTGTCAGGCGGTGCCTGGAGACGGTGGCGGGAAAGTCCCCAAGAATGAGCTAACCCGCACCCATCATTCACAGCCGCCACCAATTTTACATTCCTGCCTTCCCCCCTGCTTCTCAAGCCTGGCACCTGGAGGCATGTGCTAGAGCTCCCATCAAAGTGCATGGACACCGTGCAGAGGGAGGGGAAGGGAGAGACCCTGAGAGGGCCTGGAGTAGCCGGGCTGCAAGTCAGCCTTGAGCTGCATTGGGAGGCCAAGACTGGAAGAGTGGGGCATGGCTGCCCACGCTGAAGGTGCCTCGGCTGGACTCCGGACTGGGACAGCAGAGAGGCTGTTCCGTGGGCCACTCATGCCCAGGATGAATTTGTTCTTTAGCTCCCCGCTGGGATGTGCAGCCTGCAGATCTGATTTTTGGAAGTAGCACCCGCCCACAGTTTGCAACTGAAAAAAAAATCATGTGGGGAGGGGGGGGAGAAGTTCCTACATTGGCCCCGACACTCTTATGATGCCATCAAATCACCTCCTAGATCATCACCCACGCACGTCCACTGAGCAACCTGTGTCAATATCGCAATTCTGGCACATCATTATTTCTAGTCGACTCCAGGCCTGAGCCACACCCGACTAAAGGCAGAGGAAGGACGGGGTGAAGTCTTGTCTAAGGAGGGGGGAGATCACACAGTGATGGGGACTTGTGTCATACCGCACCGTATGCTCCTGCCTAAATGAACGCCACTGGGGCTCCCTGTCCCGTTCTGGAGACCTCACCATCAGGGATCACGCTGCCTTCTCAGCGAAAGATGCCGTGTGTGCTGCTAACTGAACTGGGCTAGTCCCGCGTTGGACACTGGCTGCTTGCTCTTGTCAGACAGCCTGGCAGAAGGCAGCAGAGGGCACGAGGACCAGGAAGGCAGCTTGGGAATTAGTGCAGGAACGAACGAACAGGCCGGTAGCAAACGTGTGGCCCTTTCTTTCTGCTCCTTTGAGAAAGGGCCCAACAAAACGATGGTCCCTGCTCTCCCTTCCCTGCGCCCCTCAAACCAAGGCGCGAGCTGGATCCAGGGCTGGCAAATGGCCCCCAGAGCCAACCAGCACCTGCCAAGGCTGATAGTTTGAGACAGGCATTCAGACCCGCAGATGGAGTCCTTAGGGTCTCAGTGATTGCAGGCAGCCCTGGGCACCACGTCTTGGTGACAGAGGGCAAAGCGGAGCCATGTGCACAGGGAGCTGCGAATGCCGGAGGCCTGGCTCCCAGGAGCCCCTGCCTCTGGGGTAGCTGAGCTGCTGTTGCCCCCCATTGGACAGACTGATGCTCTGAGAAACTAAGGAACTTGCCCAAGGAGTCTGTGGCCAACCAGGGTCTTGAAGCCAGGTCTTTTCGTCCCTGCTCAACCCTTGGGCCATCCTTCCTCCCCATTGGCTGGCCCAGGCGGAACTTGGGAGCCAGCTGACTTTAAGACTGACTCTTCCGACTCCGTGCAGCTGCTCCCAGCATGTGCCCCAGCTGTCCGTACAGCACAGGGACGGTTACATGTGTTAACTGCCCAGGAGATGAGTCAGCCATGGGGCAGCGAGCTGGGGGCTCGTCTGCCTTGCGCATCACCCGCTGAATGCTCAGCCCCACTCCAGCTGTGGGGCCGGTTTGCCTTGCGTCTGGCGTGAGGCGCAGGTAGAGAAACAAGGCCCTTCGACAGGGCAGATTTGAGCTGGAATCACGGCGAGAGAATGAATATATGAAATGCCACCGCGCCACTGGGGACGCTTCCTTCTCGTGGCTTCTCTGGTGCGTGCCCTCCTGGGGGCTTTCCCCAGATGCCTCTGCCTGCCAGTGTCACAGCAACATGGTGATTGTCACCCACTGGACATTTTTGAGCAGTGCCTGTGTGAATCAGCCGCTGCGTTGGGGCTGAGGGCTTGTGACACTGTGGGCGGTGGCTGGGTTTGGAGAACGTGGCCTGGATTCACAAAACACCTTCTCTCATCTAAAACTAGCCCTGTCCTTGCCCCCAGAGGCAAGCCCAGCTGTAGCTAAGGGGAGGCCATGCTCTGTGTGAGGACTGGTCAAACCTGCCCAAGCTTAGCTTGGTGACACAAGAAACTTGCATGAGCTAAAGAGTAATGGGTTAAGGTGACCCATAATAGGCCTTAACCCATGGTTAAGGTGACCCTGTCTGAGAAGCTACACCAACCCTCAGGATTGTCCAAGTGGCTCGATACCCCAGAGCAGTGTTTCTCAACCAGTGGTACGAATCCCCTTAGGGGTACTCGAGAGAAGTCTGGGGGGAACGTCAACACAACTGACATTTGGAGAAAACTGAATTTTTGTTCTAAGTTTTACAGCGCTTTATTATTTTTGTACTTTTTACACCCAAAAATTTCGTCGCCCGCCCGGCTACGATGAAGTTGTTTCAACAAATGGGTTGCCATGGTAAAAAAAATTTGTGTCTGAAAAGTGTAGGTATCGGTGGTACTTATATTTTTTTTAAAAAAGGGGTACTTTAGAAAAAAAGGTTGAGAAACACTGTCCCACAGCATGACCCCGGTGGCTGGACTTCAGCATTTGAGCGGGCTCAGAGTTGGGCAAAACGATCTTTGCCTAGAGCATCTTGAATTTCTGGCGCCGGCACCGAGCGGAACCTAATCCTCACAAACCTCCCTTTGCAGGCAGCGGGGGGATTAGTCAGTGAAAAAATAAGTTACTTGCTACATGCAAATTGGTTCCGCTCTTGCGGGTCTGCCTTCTAAATGAACAATTCTCCGGGCAGCCTAGAGAAAAAATGCCCCCACCATTTAACTCTTCTGCGCAAATGGAGATTGTTAACATGGCTGGACTCAGATCCAGAGATTAGAGCACCGGAACTGACCACTGCGATCACCTAGTCTCCCTCTTCAGAACAGAGGCCAGAGGACTTCTCTGAAGTAATCCCAGTTTGATCTAGAGCTGATCTTTTAGGAAAACGTCCTGGCTTGATGTAAAGACGGCAGGCATGGGATCGAACAACAGACCATTCTGGAAAGCCAAGGGAGGTGCCTTAGGGTGAGAGCGAGGGGTTTGCCCCCGACTGACCCGGGTCAAAGGTCACATTCAAAAGGTCAGAGGCCAAGCCAAGACCTTATTGCAAATTTAGCAGGGAAATTTACTCGCAGTTACTACTCATCTAGAAGGGGATCATGTGCAAGCCTCCCGCTGTTCAGAACCCTTGGACACCTTTGCATGTTCTCTCCCCTCCCCGCAGAAGTAAAGAGGGCAGAAGGGGATGTCCAGGCAGGATTGCCCTGCCTCCTTCGTGCCTTTTGTTTACTGGCTGCCATATACATTTGTGGCAGTTTTCAGACTGTATGGAGTTGGCTTGTTCCCTCCAATTTCCAGGCTAGGTGGGCCTTGGTAGGGCCATGGTGGTGCATAATACTAGAAGCCACCCAGGGCAGCCAAGGGATTAGGGGAGACACATGTACTACTCACCATGGACACTGGTTTCCCTAGATTGCCCATGCGAGTCTTTGGGTACTAAGGTAGTATGGCAGCAAGTGTTATGGAAAGGCCAATGAGAAAGAAACCCGCAGGCACTGATCCCCTCTACATCTTTAAGGTCAACTGGCAATCGGCTACATGACAGGTCCTTGGCCCATTCAATGTTTTAAAGCTTACACTGGCTACCAAAGGCGTATTCCTGTTTTCTCTTTCCTTCAGTAGAGCGGGGCCAGCGATTTACTGTGCGGATTTAGCCTGTTTCTTCCGCAACAGATTGAATCTTTATTTTTTCAGGCATTGTCTGAAATGAGTCAGTGCATGGTTTATGACAAGGCATTTCCGCCCCGGCTTGCTTGCAAGGTGTCTGCTGAGTGTTGCTTCGTGAATATGTAATTTGCTATTCATGCTGCGAGACTGGTCATGTGAACGTTCCCAGCAAGATGCCTCCTGCAGGTGCATATTCACACGCGCGCCCGGGACGCTTCTGGCAAATATTTGTGCCTATAAAACCTCTCTCCAAGCTCATGCAAGGACTACAAAGGGGTTGCAGGAACCATTCCTGGGTGCATTTGTACAATCACTGTGTGAATGGATGTTTGCAGCCCTTCTCAGCCTGCTCTTTATCACAGAACTGTGTCCGAGGTGAAAAGACATTAAGATCACAGGACAGCTTCACCTGGACATCCCCCCTTTCTGCCTCTACTTCTGCAGGGCGGAGAGTGAAACATACAAAGGTGTCCAAGGGTTCTGAACAGATGGAGGACTGGGCTTGATCCCCCCCTAGACTTGTAGTGTTACAGGCAAGGACTAGCAACTTTACTAAATGTTTCCAGCTGGGATCAATGCTTGATGGAGAACTTGCTGAATGCAACCATCCCCTTGCATGCACCATGGACACAGGTTGCCCCAGGGCCTTTCAGCACCAATGCACAGTTCCCTACTGTTTGAGCAAAAGCAGTAAAACTCCTTGGCTACGTCTAGACTGGCATGATTTTCCGGAAATGCTTTTAATGGAAAAGTTTTCCGTTAAAAGCATTTTAGGAACAGAGCGTCTAGATTGGCACGGACGCTTTTCCACAAAAGCACTTTTCGTAGAAAAGTGTCCATGGCCAATCTAGACGCGCTTTTCCGCAAAAAAGCCCCGATGGCCATTTTCGTGATCGGGGCTTTTTTGCGGAAAACAAATCTGAGCTGTCTACACTGGCCCTTTTGCGCAAAAGTTTTGCGCAAAAATACTTTTGCCCGAACGGGAGCAGCATAGTATTTCCACAAGAAGCACTGATTTCAGACAGTAGGAAGTCAGTGCTTTTGCGGAAATTCAAGCGGCCAGTGTAGACAGCTGGCAAGTTTTTCCGGAAAAGCGGCTGATTTTCCGGAAAAACTGGACAGTCTAGAGACAGCCCAGATGAGCAGGCTTACATTTTCCTTTGAAATATGTAAAAATCCAAGCTGTGCAGTGCCCCAGCCACAAGAGAGGGACATGACACTCTTTGCCAGGCGAGAACACTCTCAAGTATTATATCCCAGCATGCACCAGAATTTGGTGTACAACTTCCCTGCCAGGGACACTCGTGGGTCCCACTCTGGAGAACATTATACCCAGCCTTACACCCACTGACAGCAGAACCCTGCCATGACTTAGTTAGGTCAGTTCTACTCCCTGACTCCTAGCCTTCTAGGCTGTACTGTCAAGCATCCTGGAAGACCAATGACCTTCTTAACCCTCATTTCCCTGTGGCACGGCTAACATGCCCACTGCCGGACCATGTCAATGTCAGCAGATCTTAACACTTGGCTGGACACTGCTCCTTCTAAATCAAGGGTTGCAGACTGCTCCCAATACAGCCACTGGTGGCACCTTCTCCCCTCCCTCCTAAGCAGAATGGGGGATGGTTACTTTTACCTGCTGAGGCCAGCTTAACGGGCACAAAGCCCTGCTCTAGGTCCCCAAGTCCTGCTCCCTGGTTTCCAGTGAGGCCTTGAATATGGCTGCTGAAGTCTCCCCCGCCTCTTTTGCCACTTCCCTAGCACGCTGCTCCCTGCTAGTGGCCAATGCACAGATAACCCATTGCCCGGCTGTCTACAGCTCATCAGACCGGCCGTGCATGCAGCCTGCACGTTGCTGTCCCCACCCAGGACTCTGACCGGTAGTTCTGGTGCAGCAGTGTTACTGACTGAGGCTGCACCTTGAGCAAACGCTTAGGAGTTATTACAGACACGTCTCTCTCAAGCCAGTCTTTGCATATTGCACCAAATGGCCTTTGAATGGATTCTGCTCATGCGGCAGACATGTCTCACCATGTTCTGCGGCATCCACCTTGTCCATCTGTGCACCTTCACTGCAAAGGCCCGCACCTTTGCTTAGATGGATCGAGCTCGTGGTTGAGCAATGCACGGGAAAGCCGACGGATTAGGACCATGAGGTTGAAGGATGAGCCAGGGACATCCAGGGAGAATTAGAAGAGAGGTTTGGTCAGCTCCTGCTTTGAGCAACCTGAATGGGGCATCTTAGCTCATGCAGATGATGAAAACTCATGGTGAACAGCAGACACCACACAGCTGCAATTACTTGTTCCTCCTAGAGAAACAAGGCATGTGGGCGAGCGGAGAGATGGGAGCCGGGGACACTGTCCTTGCTGGCATCAAGGGAGCAAGGGGTGAGATCCAGAGGCAAGCGAAGGGCTCTTGATGAAGGGGTTTGGTATTAGATGAGCGAGGCGGCCAGCAGCGGATGGAGCGGCACACAGGGAATGGGAGATGCTGGCTCCTAGCAGAGACAGCACCAAGGGCTGGCTCTCCTGGGAGGGAAGATACTGTCACTGACAATGGAAAGGCCCAATGAGATGATCGGGGGCCCGGGATGGCAATGGGTGGCCCAGCAGTGACTGTGGAGAGAGCTGACAAAGAGCCCAGTGCTGCGATTTGCTGACTCGGCGAGAGCGGTGCTGACTCATCGGCTCCAGCCCGGCAGGGAGCCGAATGCAGGTTTCATGGAGCGTGCTATGGCCCAGGGAGTGGGGCGACAGTGTGCGCCTGCACTCTCTGCCCTGCTCAGCTCCCCTGCTGTCCCACCTACTGCTCATAATGCCCAACTCCCTCCCACTAAGGTGGGGAAAGGTAGTGGCTGGAAATCCTTTGCCCTTCTCAAAATTCACGGGTCTCCTCTGTGTGTTTCCCCATAATAATACTTAGCAGTTACATGGAGCATTGCTTTTGTAAATCCCACCGCACCTCACAGGGTATGGCTACACTAGCCACCCTAGTGTAGCCATACCCAAAGGGTCTAAGCATTAACACATGGGGAAACTGAGGTACCACAAGGTCACAGGCAGAGCTGGAACTAAAACCCAGGGCTCCTGACTCCTAGGCTGTGCCTTGCCCACTGGGGCATGCTGCTGCTAAAAGATGTGGCAAGCGCCCTTCCTGCCCTCTGACTGTCTGGCTGGCTCAGGCCAGCTAATGCTAGAAGGAGGCTGCTGAATGCTCAGGCGTGAGAACACAGCTGGGGCGAGTCACATATTCACCTTCAGCTCATGATTCCATACCTGCTTCCATACCAGCTCCTGACTTCATTTCCGTACCTGTTTGAAAATAAAGCAAGTGTCTACAGCCTGGCCACGCCCAGGGGGGCCCGCCAGTATCCCTGAGCAGCCAGGCTCTGGGCTGCCTTAGGACGCACTGGAGCATGGAAGTTGCCTTCAGATAGGTGCCCTCTGCTACCCTAGCCTGAGGGTCCACGGCCTGGGAGCCACCAGGTGGCACTGTGTGGTAGATGGGCTATGACTCTGGTATAGTGTAGAGAGACCTCATGGATTTGGCACCGTTGTCCAGCCGGGACAACCACTAGAATGCACCTCTGCTTTCCTACAGGTTCAGCCACAGAGAATCAACCCCCGGGGCTGGGCTCTAATGCCACTGCCATGTCACCTGCTAGGACCCTTCTCCATCCCCAGCAGAGTCACCCGTGCCCTGGCAGGACCCAACTAAAGCATCCTGCATGGTTGCCCACAGCCATGGCAGTCCGGCTCCACTCCATGCATTGTCACGCGACCCTCACCCGTCACCCCGCAGAGCTGCCACTGGGAACCAGTTCCTTGATTCTGCCCACGGGGACTCCACCTCATTGCCATGCAGAGGCTCTCACAGGCAGATGGCCAGAAAAAAACGTGGCCTGTTTGCATTGGAGGAAGCACATGGCCAATTCTGAGGGGTTCACCTAGCTCTGATTTAATCCGGATGACAGCCCTGCCCGTATAAATCAGAGCGGAATGAGCAAGCCACCTGCCTGCCTGGGCATTGAATAACAGACTAGAACTGCAGTCCCTCCAGGAGCAAAACGTTCTCCAAAAGGGCAGAGCCCCCAGCGTGGGAGCCCCCAAACGACTGTGAAGGCTGCTGAATTCGTTCTAGCAGCTGCCCTTCCCTCCCACCCTGGCTGCAGTAGGGTCCATCCATCCAGCCCTCCCAACATTTGCATTTGCAGGCCAGTCATGGGGCACTCTGCTTGAAGCTTCGAACCCCAGGCTGGTCCGGTCAGGTCTGTGTCCTGCGTCACCGTGTGGGCACAGAGCAATGCGCCGCAATGGCAGGCCCTACACTGCTCCCCGCTTGCATCGCACGGACCCAGCCAGAGCTGCCGACCAGGTTTCGTTAGCAGGTTCTGCCACCGCAAACAAGTTGTGATGTGGGGGCCGCGTTTACGTGGCTGGTCCCGGGAGCACGTGGCGCCCTCTAGCCCTCAGCAAGGGCACTGCCGTGTGCAGGGGAGCGGGGGCGCCTGAGCAGCGCACACGTCAAGCGACTCCCAAAGGTCTCCTCCCACTTCTGTTTCAGTGGGGAGGGCTCAATGCTGAGCCAGCGCCCCTTGACCTCCATGAGGGCGCAGACTCGGACCCAGACCCCCCGTAGAGTGAGCCACACAAAACGCTACTGACGCCTCCCATCCCACCAACCTTCCCAGGGCTTCCTAAAACATCCCTGTCTCCCCTGACAGCCCCTCTCAGAGCGCCCCCATCTTCTAGAGCAGCCAGCCGCTCATTTTCCCCTTCTGGCTTCTAAGTCCTGCCGGTAGCTCCCACCTTGTTCTTTCAGCCGGATGATCTCAGTGTCTGAGCCGAAGCTGTTCCAGGCGGTGCAGTTGTAAATGGTCTGGAAATCGGCTCGGACAATGTTGCTGATGGTCAGCGTTGAGATGACGCCTTCCTCTGTGCTGACCGTCTCCACCGTGTAGCGCCCTGAGGTCCCTGACTCCAGCACGTTCTCCTTCCAGGACCAGGCCTGCAAATCAATAAGAAGAGTTAGTCTGGTTCATTTAGGGCCTGATTTCTGGCCCTGAGGCTATGTCTACACTGCCATTTTTTGGCAGAAGATATGCAAATCGTGCTCTCATTTGCATATCTTCTGCTGATACTTTTTGAGGAAGAGGTTTTGCTGCGAAAAAGCCTTGTGTCGACGGGGCCATTTGTCGGAAATCCTTCCTTTTTCACAAGCTCCTGTAAACCTCAATTTTGAGGAATAAGGGATCTTGTGAAAAAGGGGGTTTTTTTCTGACAAATGGCCCCGTCGACATGGGGCTTTTTAGTGGCAAAACCTCTTCCGCAAAAAGGATCGGTAGAAGATATGCAAATGAGAGCACGATTTGCATATCTTCTGCCGAAAAAATGGCAGTGTAGACATAGCCAGAGTGTGCACAGCTAAATAACTGGGGGCAGCCTGTGGATTCTAATGTGCAAGAGCAGCGAGTTAGGGGTGGGACTTTCAACAGTGCTTATGAGACTTAGGAGCATGAGTCTCGTGGAAAGACACAGGAACTTAGGCTCCTAAGTCATTTAGGTGCTTTGGAAAATTCCCCCCGGACGTTGATGTGCCAGTGGTAAATGCCACCCATTACATTTCCAATGCAGCTGTTTCTAGGTGCAAACGAGGGGCTCAGATTCAGAGATCATGCAGCAAAATACTCAATTTGGGCCCTTCTTGCCCAATTCCACTAAAGGGAAGTGGTGCAGAAGACTTTACAGCAGGTCCTGTGTTTGCTATACTGGGGGAACTGAACAGACAGCTGAGCCTGATAGTGGAACGATTAAAATGATCTTTCATTATGGGAACGACATAGCTGGATTCTATTCTGCATCATTAACCCAGCTGTCAGCTCACTCCAGCCGTCAGACTCTCCTGGGCCGGGCAGAAAGGATCCCTGAGAGCTGGATTTTCTGATGCAGTTTGTAGCCCTGTGAATGTTTGCAAATATGCCCCTGTGTCTGTCTGGGCCCAACGAGGGGGGATAAA